GGGGAGGGGGGGGGATCGTGTTGCATAGAATTAGAATACAATACAGTAACATAGAAAAAAATGAGATTAAAGAAAAAAGAATATTGTAGCGATAGCTGGGAATTACTTTTGCTAGCTAGACGCGTGACTCTAACCTTTTTGGCTATTGTGTCTAAATCATCGGGTTTAGATTGTAGCAAAGGGGAGGAAAAAAAAAAACAACAGTGAAAAAAACCTGCTGTAGATTCTGCTTAATCTGGCGTTGCCTAGCCTAGGCTAGGCTAGCGACCAACGCACAGATTTTGTCGAGATTGCGGGAACCCGATTGGTCAGATCATCGTACGGCGTACGGATGAGGGGGAAGGTAAGGGGTCAGACTTGGGTCAAGGTTAGCTAGCCGGTATTATTTATAATCAGCCCATCGCGCCGACTGACGGATGAATTGAGTGTGTTTTGTGTGAAACAACACCCTTTGTTTGGGGTAAAGAGAGCATGAAGTGAATCCCTCTTTCTTTTGAGTGCATGAGAAACATTTTTCTACTGGTCTACCAAGCATAGGTCTAGATCTAGATCTTCTGTTCTCGGAGGATTTAATTTTGGTGCAACTGTACCCAGGGATTGGAGTTGGAGGATAGCGTTCCGTGGGCCAGCTGAGCGCTCGCGGCGTTGCTTATAAGTGCGGCTCTGCTGATAACAGTTTTCATTTAAACAAAGTTATCGTGCTGAAATTGTTTAAACTGTGGTATTTGTCTTTAATAGTACTCTTGCTTTCTGGAATCTAAGAGCTTATATTTTTTTGCAATATGTGTAAAACAGAGCCCCAAAAGAACAAGACTTTGCCTGTGTACAGCTGGGAAGAGATTCAAAGACACGCAACTAAGGATGACCGCTGGATTGTCATAAACGGGTATGTCTACGACGTTTCCACTTGGAGCAAGAAACACCCTGGTGGGGAGAAACTGCTCGCCAACTGCGCTGGACAAGATGCAACAGTATGTTCAAAATTTTTGCTAAACAAAATAACACAAAAATATGCATTCATATATCTTGTTTGCCCCCCCACCTCCCCACCCAGGAATAACTCTAATTTTCCTTCCTCTCTTAACAAAAGTACCAAAGGCCTGTTTCAAAGTTATGCTACCCTGTGTACCATATAGCTCAATGTGCTTATAATATAAGTAGCCTATGCTGCAACTGTTTTATGCTATAAAGTCATATGATTCCATCACTATATGCTCAGCTTTAGGTTTAAAAAAGAAGCTATAAATTTGTTTTGTGCCTTTTTTCTGACAAACCTATACTAGGTTACACAAATTGCATTTGTTGAGCTGTGATATATTCTTTAAATTTCGTAATAAAAGATGCAAGAGATTAGATAATAATAATTCTTTTGTGAAAAATGGTTGGAATATGCATGCAGCTCATAGAAAAATCTAGTATTATACTTATAGAATCTAGTTATTTTTCATTTTAAAGTTGCTCTCATGAAAATGTTCTGCAGCTTACAGTATTCCTTTTTCTTTTTCTTCCCATGTCAAAATAAACCATATATTATAAATATGATAGCATGGTATATATATATATAGATCTATATATTCTTTACAATCTGCTATTGTCTTAGGTATACACATGAAAATTAAGGTAAAATCTCGATTGCTTTTCAGTCAGTTTCCAATTGGTGTTATGCATGCTGTGACATCAAACATTTCAGTGTCAGTCGAAGTAGGATATACTCCATTTCAACATTTGAAGACCAGAATAAGTTTGCTTCTGTCGTACTTTATCGTCGGAAAGACTTCCGCCGTAACAAGCGATCACCCCAACAAACACAATAAAGAAGACATCCTCCCCTAACCCTGACTCTACCCCTAACCCAACCCCCAACCCTACACCAAACCTCATAACAACCCTCTACTCTACTGTGTTACGGAATTTCTACCTTAATGTCGTCTGTCATGCATGAAATCAAACATGATATCACTCGCTAGTCTATCCTGCCAAATTTGCAATATATACTTTTGATATAATAATAAATAATAATAATAATAATAAATGACATATTGTGCTCAACTCCGATTAAAATGCTCAGGCTCTAGGTGTTTTACAATGCAATACAACAGTAACATAAAACATTGAGCTCTGACCCCCCAAAAAATCTCTCTAAAATTCATCTTATTCATTAAAAACAGAAAATGACTTTATCTGATATTTGAATAGATAAAAGGATTGGATCTCTCTTACTACAGTACTTGGCAAAACATTCCAGATCTTCGGGCCTTTTGATATTCAAATGTAAACTCTGGTTTCCCTGTATTGTTTTGCCAATCAATGACTTCACTCTCAGTCTGCGGAGCTTCCTAATTAATCCTGGAAAGTAGCGCTCATTACTCCTGACTTTTTTCTTTTTTCTTCTACAGGAATAGTAAGAGACACAGGGAGTAAAAGTAAAAGTCGGTGTTAAGCTTAAACTTAAATTTTCTATAGTAGTAATAGTAAGTTAGTATTTTTAGAACTCTTATTCTGACTTAAATTTCCTCAGGATGCGTGGATTGCTTTCCACAATGACAAGAGAGCCGTGAGCAAATACTTAGGTGCACTGAGGGTGGGCCTGCTGCGGCCCGAGGAAAATAAAGAGGTATGAGAGCTTGAGGAAGAGGCTGTATGTTTTAAAACAAAAACAAAATAAAAACGTTTCATTCAGTGTTTTTACCCCTGTCGATTTTGTAATTTCAGGTTTTGCTACTCAGTACTTAACTTGGCATGTTGTCAATGTGTTTCAAGACAATTTATATAAAAATATTTACATTTTATAAAAACTGAAGGAGTGTTCTTAATCTTATTCTTACTCGTCTTTGAAAATTGATTTGCTGGGTTTTTTTTTACTTTCAGTCGGAACTGATTAAAGATTTTCGAGACCTGAGGCGGACAGTGGAGGACATGGGTTTGTTCAAAGCTAGCGTGCCTTTCTTTGGCTTCATCATGATCCACATTTTCCTCCTCGAGTTCTTGGGCTGGTTCACAGTCTATCAGTTCGGGACCGGCTGGCTCACACTCTTCATAGCGTCTTTGTTCTTGGTTTCCGCACAGGTGAGGCAGCTAAAGTTTGGAACTTCATAATGTATTTTCTGGCCTCAGGAGAAAAAAAAATATCAATATGAAAGACGCTGAGTTCTGTGAGTGACAAATTGATTTTTAGCTGTCACCTGCAAGGGCGCATTTTTTGTCACAGATGTTATCTGATATTATGCTTAATAATTGTATTACTTTTTAAACTTTTTTCTTTTACAGGAATGGAGAGAGAGATTGGGAGTAAAAGTAATATTCAGTGGAAATGCTTTAGCTTGAATAATTATTATCTGTAGTAGAAACAGTCTAGAATTTTAAATAATAATAATAATGACAATGAAAATGATAATAATGATAAAAATAATAATAATAATAATAATAATAATAATAATAATAATAATAATAATAATAATAATAATAATAATAATTATAATAACAGATTACATTTATATAGTGCTCTGTCTTATTTTAGAACTCTCAGCTCTTGTATGTGAGGGCTAATTACATCATTTATTTCTCATGTTGCTTTAATATTTTTTTTTCTTTCTGGTCATTTTTCCTATTTAAGTTTATATTTGTTCCATTGTTTGACTTATTAAAATGCATCATCTTCAATTCTTTCTATCTTTTGATGCCCATGTGTGATCATGTCTCAGCCTAGGTAATTTTTTAATATTATGTTTCTTGCAGGCTCAGGCAGGTTGGGCACAGCACGACTATGGCCACCTCTCTGTGTTTAACAATTCCACTGTCAATCACTGGATCCACATTTTTCTGCTTAACTTCTTCAAGGTAAAGTTCTTAAACCATCGTCTAAGGTGATGGGTTCGGAGCTCAGGTTTGGTTTATATGCTCTCTCTCTCTCTCTCTCTCTCTCTCTCTCTCTCTCTCTCTCCAAAATAATCAATTAGTATTTGGTTATTAAATGACATTCCTAACAGGTTTTTTTTCTCCTCTTGGATCCCCAAATGTTCTCCTAGATTGTATTGAAATGGACCACATGGCCCATAGTGAGTAACAAATTGTAAACACATCCACCTTTTAATGAAGAACAAAGAAGAGTGCTATTAACACTTTTTGTACCGTCAGTGACTTGAGTCGCCAGGCTGTAGTGTGCGCTCATTATCGCTGGTGACTTTCGTGACCGACTCGACCAGGCACAGTAGACATATATATAAACAACAAATGGTGCAATTGCACTAAGGTAAATTCCGAAGGAAGTCACTCTATGTGATAGCTGAATAGTTGATGATAATCTGTGAAATTTTAAAGCATGTTTCTTGATGTGCAAAAGTTTGTTGAAATCATTTTAAAAAATCTGCCTTTGCTTTCAGCGTTCTAAACTGGTGCAGTACTTGAGGGTTTTTCTCTATATGAGTCTTCGGTACTGTAAGTGTTAACACTTCAAATTCAAAGTATTTCCTTGTCGAATTCCATGTGTTTTCCTCATTTTCTTTTTCAAACTTGAACCATCTCTAAAAGCTGTTTTCATTTCAATTTCTAAAAAAACCATTTCTATGTCTTCGTGAAGGGTGTGTCCTCTTCATGGTGGAACTATCGGCACTACTTGCACCACGCCAAACCCAACCGCATCCGCAAGGACCCAGACATCCGGCTGGCTCCGCTATTCTTACTGGGAGACAAAATTCCGGTGGAGGTAAGCGAAACGTTTTTTATGTTGGCTAAGTTTATCATTGTGAATCATTGTGTACCTGAGATCATATCAGAAATTGTCCTTTGTCTGACCCTCAGGATATGTGTATGTTAGTGTGTGTGTGTATGTGTGTGTGTGTGTTTTTTTTTTGTGTGTGTGTGTTTCTGTCTCTCAAATCACGATATACTGCCTGATTCACTATTGATTAAAATAAAGACAGAAATAGCGTAAAAAGAAAAATGTATTGTTTGTAAATTTAAACTGTTGCGTCATTTGTTAACAGGCACTTGGAGAATGTCTCTCTCTGTCTCTCTATTTAGTCACTCCTATTCTAACAACCACTTATCTTAGACCATCACCTGTCCAGAAAAAACACCTGCCCAAATGACAACTTTTTACTTCCCTCTGGTATTTTTTTGTACATTTCAATGACACTGTCCAAGACATCCACCTGTATAAGACAGCCACTTTTATTCTCTACAGTGGATAACTATCTTGGACAATTTTGACTTAATATAAATTGATGCATATCAAGACATTTGTAAGAGGCTGTAAGTTAATAGTTTTTGGTGCATGTAGAATTGATAAAGAAACTAGAGAATAGTTTTCTTCTCTAAATATCTATGTTTTGTAGTTTAACATTTTGCCCCCACAGGACGCCGATTAGTGATGGTGTGATATAATCAACAAAAGCGCACTAGGAATTATCCCCCTTTAGACATACGCACTTGTTAAATTTATAATTTCCTTCCTGAATGGTTTGTGTGGCCTTGGACTTTGAGGGTGAAAATCAGTTAATTTACAATAGTTGGAGTAAATTTTATTGAAAGATGTCGAGTAGACCTGGCACTAGTGCTGCTTTGCACTGGTGCCATAATAAGAATTCGGGTGGTGAATGTGCTAGATCGAATGTTTTCAGTTCCGATTCTAATTTCTTTTTCCATTTTTGTTTTGGGTGTTTTTGCCGAGATACAGGTATAGTACAGTACCGATGTACCCCATCTGCATCATGGTACATGGGGACAAAGGTTGTGCGCTCTGCACCTTGGGTGAATGGAAAGTGTTAAAGTGTTAAAGTTCAGAGAATGAACTACATGATAACTCTGGTGCTCTACATACACTGGGTTTTTAAGTTCAATTAAATCACCTCAAGTTTTGTGTGCCCAAGTCAGACGTTTTACATAAGGATAAAGATTGTGATCCAGATTGAGGACTTTTGGACTTTTGTTCTAGTTTTTTGGTTGTTGTTGTTGTACTTAACCTTACATAGTGGTCTTGGGTCTCTGTTTTGCTTTTCTTTCTTGTGTACCTTTCTTATTTTCTCTGTTTATTGCTGGTGAACTAGTTTCAGGAGAATCCTTTAGCTTCAGCTCAGTTGGTGTTGTGCTATGATCGATGCAGTCCACTCAGGTTCGAATCCTTAATGGGTTGTACTTGAATTTTGGGTTGTTTGGGGAGTTTTTATTGTTCTCCACCCATGTGGCTCAGGAAATATGGCGATCTGGTCTCTTGATTAAAAGGAAAGTGCTGTGCTATCATAGTATATGAGTATTTTGTTCTAGTTCTATTTAAGCACGGCTTAGTTCTATTTAAGCAAGGGTGGTTGACAGGTGCTCTGGTGGAGTTTACTCTTTCTTTCCTATCAAACATATATCATCCATATAAATCACTCGTTTCTTTTCTTTGTTTGTGACTCTCTTGTAACACCTGTAATATTCAGCACTTATTTGACCTACTGTTTGTGTTGCAAGTGTTGTAAAACTCTTACTGTGGGTGGTTGGTGGATGCTTTGGTGTGGCTTGCTATTTTTTTCATATTTAACATCCATTGTCGTCCTTTTTTTTGTTTGTTACTTTCTTGCAACACCTCTAATCTTCGGCACTTATGTGACCTTATTGTGTTGCAAGTGCCGTAAAACTCTTACTAAAACAAAAAAGCCCCCCAAAACACTTACTAAAACTAAAACTAAAGGTATAGCTTATCATATGGCCCCGTAGCTAAACAATCAGCGAAAGCTGACGGACAAATACGGTATCAAGTGACTTGAAAATGACATCTCGTGAGTGCGTGGTCTCTCTGTGTGCTTTGTCAAGTGAGACAGTTTCTCACCTGTTTCTAAGAGTGTTTACCTGATTACTGATAACCCCCCTCTATGTCACTGTGCTAGTTGGTGAACTGTGATTGTGAGTGGTTGGTGGGTTCTCTGATGTGGTTTACTTATTTTTCTAGTAAAAATAAAAAATCTGTCTATCATCCTTATCTCTTTTCCTTCTTTTTTTATGTCTTTGTTACTCTACTGTAACACTTCTAATCTTTGGCACTTATGTGACCTAATTGTTTTGTAAGTGCCTTAAAACACTAACTGAAACAAAATCACCAGTTGTGAAGCGTGTTTACCTGATTTCTGATAACCCCTGTATGTCACTGTGCCAGTTGGTGAACTTTGTTGTTCTGAGTTCAGTGATAGTGACAGTTGGATGGGCTGAAAGTTTACTTACATCCCACTGGGTATCATACTGTACTTGTGATGCGGGTGGCTGTGGGTCAGATCCGGAAAGGTGTATTTTTGTAATGGGTAGTTTTGAGAGTTTTTGAGACTGTCCACTCACTCACGTGGTTGGTTCCTGCTAAAGATGGACCTTAGGTTTGGAAGTTTGTTTATATATATATACAGCCATAGGGTGTTTATAGCGGTGTTACACCCATATCGTACATAGTTTTTAAAAAAAATGTTCCCCCAAGTATTGTCATTGTTCTGGTATTCTAACATTATCAGTGGTTGGTTGGCGGATGCTCTGCTGTGGTTTACTCCTTTTTTTCCCTAACAAACAGCCATCGTCCTAATCTCACCTCATTCTTTCTTGTGTTGCAAGTGCCTGAAAACTCTTACTTAAAACCCCCCAGCCAAAACAAAAAAAGTTTGGGGTTTGAATCCAAGTAGAATCCAGCAGGGTTTTATCATGTTCTGAAGCATTTGGCTTCTTAGCAAGATTTCTTATTGGGGGAGCCCTATGCTCTCAGCTCGAAACGGCCTGGGTTTTGGGAGCTGTGGGGTATTTTGTACAAACTAATTTCTGATTTTTAAGAGTTTTCCTCACAGTTTGCTACCTCAGAATTACGAAGTTCTATTTGCTCAATACCTAGTTTTGATAAATTTGATGTTAAAAAATGTTGAGTTTAAAATTCTCAACATGTCAAGCTTTTTCAAATGCAATTCTTTGATTATCCTGATAGCGACTTCGAATAATCGTACAAGTTTGATAAAGCAGATAGAAAAATTGTCAGATAGAACGTAATTTTAAGGTAGCAAGTTGTCTAGGCCGTTTGAAGATCTTGGCTTTGAGTCCAAAATTATGACGGTTGATTTCGTGGATCCATTAAATTTAAGTCTCATTTTGTGTTAAATCTTGTTTTTATGTCTGGAATTCAGTGCTTTCGAAATAATTTCCATAAAAACAGGGGAAAATAAGTTAGTATAATGTAGCGTGAAGACTGCATTGTGTTCAGCAAGGTGATGAACTTGAACATAAAAAACCCCAAAATTAATCCTCATATTTTATAAACTTCTTTTTCTTTCTGTTTTATCTAGTGGGGCAAAAAGAAGAAAGGTGGACTGCCTTACAACTGTCAACATCAATACTGGTTTCTCGGTAAGAGTTTATTTTGTTGCTCATGTGCATTAAAAATTTTTTAAATTTGTTCTATTATTTTTAAAAGATTTTATTAACTCTAAAAGATATCCTTACCACACCTGTAAAGTAGTAAGACATCCCTGACACCTCCTTCTTTGATTTGAAGCATATTGACCATGTCTAACCCATTTTACTTTCCTGTCGAAATCTTACACTTATAAATGTGGCTTGCAAGATGGGGTTGATGCTGTTCTTTTAACTTTTGGTGGGTTTTTGGAAAGTGCCACTGGTGGTTGCTGCTTTGAATCTTTCTTTTTATTCTTTTGTAGTTTGTCTTTGTTGTCTAGAGAAAGCTTCACTTGTGTAAAAAAAACCCCAGAAATAATGTATAAATGTAACAATGGCAAGATATGGGTGGCTGGAGAGTGTCACTGACAGGTCATATTTTTTGTCTCACCTGCTGTTTCTGTTCATTTGAAAGTTGAACGGCTGTCACTTTGTTGAATATATATGTGGTTCAACAGTTGAATGAAAGAACAAACTAAACGATGACTTTTCTGCTTGTTTAGATTTATGTTTTTCTCTCTCTCTGCAGTGATGCCCCCTCTCCTTCTTCCACTTTACTTCAACTTTGAGGTGCCTTACTTCTTGTATTCACGGAAACTCTACGGGGTAAGTAATACCATATTACACATTGTATGTTGTTAACGTCCCTTTGTTCAATTTCCCATTCAACTAACAAAAACAATAAACAATAGTCAAACACAAGTGGAGTTATGAGTCTACAAGCTTTTATTAAGATTAGTAATGGCATCTTCGCAATTTCCATTTTGTGACTTGGCCCAGTTTGCCCCTGGACTCTTTAATTTTGTCTTTTTCAGCAGGAAGGAGAAGTGATGAGACAGGTGGTTGAAGGGCACCACTGGTTGACAGTTCCTTCTTCTTTCCATTCTCTCTGCCGGTTCTGTTTGCATGTCGAACATTTTCCCAGCCGTAAATGACAGTTATTGTTTTGATGTGCTTCTCTTTTCTCAAATCAAATAAACAAACGAACAAACAAACAAACAAACAACACTAAATGGCCATTATTTTGGGTGGTTGGTGGGTACTGTGGTGTGGTTTGCTTCTTCTTTCTTATCAAACATCTATCATCCTTATCTCCCCTCCTTTTTTATGTTTGTTACTCTCTTGTAACACCTCTAATCTTCTGGCGCTCATATGACCTTATGCAGTTGCAAGCGCCATAAAACCTCTACTAAAACAAACAAAGACATGACGATTATTGTGTCGATATGCTTCTCTGTACTCAAACGAATAAACAAACAATGGAGTTGCGAGCGCCGTAAAACCCCATACTAAAAACAAACAAAAAAACAAACAACACTAAATGACCATTATTGTGTCGATGTGCTTCTCTGTACTCGAGCAAAAAAAAAAAAAAGAAGTGTGGAGAGAAAAGGGCATGAACAAAAATGATAGTGTGTAATTATTTCTCTTGGTTTTTTCGCAGGAAATGTTTTGGATGTTTGCCTTCTTTGTCCGCTACGTCTGTATGTTCTACCCGTTCCTCGGAGTGAGTGGAGCTCTAGCTCTCTATGTGTGGGTGCGGTGAGTAGGCTACTCGTGAGATTTTGGTGTTTGTTTGTCAAGTATGCCACAATACGTATTTGTGCACTTGTGTTTGTGCTTGTGTGTGGGTTTGTTTGTCTGTGACCTTGTGTGTGTGTGTGTGTGTGTGTGTGTGTGTGTGTGTGTGTGTGTGTGTGTGTTTGTGTGCATGAGAGAGAGAGAGAGAGAGAGAGAGAGCAACATGTTTTTTGGCTGAAATTTAAAATGTATTATACATGTAAAGGAATAGTATATATGACAATTATATTTTCAACACCTTAACTCATTCGCTATGTATTATTTTCGGCTTGTGGACAAATTTTTTTCGCGAGGGCGAAATGAGATGATGACTAGATCTAGTGCGCAGTTAGAAGGTCTTTTGGGGCCACAAATTCAAATAAATATCAACGTATTATCTACCAAAATTTTGAGTATGGTTTGTTTGTGTATTTTTCAACTCTGTTTCCTGTAAGAGGTGATTTTATGCAACACAATTTTGATTGGATGCGGATAAAATTTGGAAATAAACATTTAATAATCTTTGGTGAAACTCAAAAAATATGTTTGCACCTAGACTCTAGTCAAATGATATACAGTCAAACCTGCCCTGACGGCCACCTGTACAGACGGCCACTTTCCATTTCCCCCCTTGCGTTTTTTCTATATTATTTAACTGTGTAAAAAGGGCACCTGCCCAACGCGGCCGCGGCCACCATATTTTAACACACAACCCCTATCACATTCAGCAAAAACACCTGTCTTAGACGGCCACCTTAGTGACTTCATTGCGATAAATTGTGCATTGGCCCCTGGTGTTGTGGGCGAGCTGTCATAATTCAATCATCTGTTGTTGTTGTTAGGTAGTCCCTCCTACCGATCATGTTGCGTAGGCCCCTCCCACTGTTGACCAATAGCTACCAATTTTCAGCTGCTGGTGAGGTAAGCGTGTGATCCCTCATAACCCATAAGCCCCGCACAGAACTCATACACACATCGTAAGTGAGATGAGTGGTCACTGTTTACCCAGTCTGTAACAATGGACGTTGACGTGAACTTGTGACAGAAGCGTCGCTCGTTCTCCGAGTGGTGGCGACCCATGTGTTTGTTTTAACATGGCACTCGGTCTTCCGCGTCTGACACATTTCATTTTATTGTCACCCTTGTGCAAAATCAGCAACAAAATAAAAATTACAAACAAAATACAAACCAACAACAACAACAATTAAGACCACAACAATGCTACTTCTTTCGATTGGGGCCTCAGATGGGAATTGTTTGTTTTCTTCATCTTGATCAATCCTGCCTAAGACGGCCACCTGTCTTATACGGCCACTTTTCTCCTTGACAATGGGTGGCCGTCTTATACAGGTTTGACTGTATATCAAAATAACCATAAATGAATATAGAACTGGAAAATATTGAAAAATTTGCAGTTATTTACATACTTTCCATAATATTTGTACATTTGGATCATAACCTCCGATATTGAAAAAAAAAATATTGATAAAGGATCACAAACAGAAAACACCCACTCGTATCTTATATAGAATTATTCAGAATTGCATATGAAATAAACCTATACATATCTTGAGTGGCTCTTTTCGAGTAATTTCACCAAAAAGTAGTGATTTTGGGGAGAAAAAAATATTTTGACAATTTAGATCTAGACTTAGATTAGATCTAGCACTCGAAAATATTGCTTTCTCAATTACAGTGCATTGGCAATTTGAGGCCAATAGTGTCATTATTATAAAAAAGAGTCAAACATTTCTTTAGTGAGAAAAATAATGATACATTTTGTTTTGTAAAAGTACTAAGACCGGTGTCTGGGCTATAATTTTGGCATCGCGATAAAACAAAGTCGCATAAACTACGAAATCACGTTTAAAAACTGAATCTAAACTTCCGATTTTCGGTAGAAACGCTTGACCCGGAAGTCAATGTTATGTTTTAACATGGATACATGGATTGAAATAAAATCTAAGCTAGAATTAAAGGTCGGTGCTCGAGCTGTCGGGTGCGGCTTGCGGTATGGAAGATACTTTTGCTGCGCCGCTGCCCACGACTCGGCTTAGCAAATGAGTTAAGATTTCACATAAAAATAAGGAACAAAAACTTTGTAGCAAATATAGACTGGTGTAGCTGAGAATATGCATAGAGAAATTTTCTGTCTTTTGTGTTGCTACTTTATGTTGCTTCATATAACCATGGCTATGGGCCGGTGGGTAAAATGTTGGAACAAGTACCTGCGACTACTAAAATGTTTGAAGTGCTTCTTTCGAAATTCTTTTTGTTTGCGTAGATCTTAACATTTTCCTGTGGAGCTCCCGTGACCATTCTGCCATGCCTGGCAAAGCGCCTTCTTTTTTTAACTTCAGAGCAATTTCGAGAAAAGGTTCTTTGTCATCGTAATCGTTTAAAAATAGAGCCATTCTGAAATTTGAATTCTAATTTATATTTAAAAAAAAACAAGGCACAGTTTCAATTTGAATTTTTCCCACACGTAGGGTAGGCTTTCCACTAAACATGAAAAATGCCGTTTTGTCTTCGTACAGCAGCATTGTATTGATCAGCAAGACTTTGAGTGACTGCAATGTTTTTTACTCTTAAGGTTATGGAAATTGCTCCGTTCTCTTGCAACGTAATGAAAGTTGTTGGCTTTTTTTTTTAGTTTCACTGATAAGGGAACCATGTAGATAATGATAATAATAACAATGATAATATAAATCAATTTCAGTTATATAGTATATTTTCACTCAGAAAGTGCCCAATGTTCTTTACAATGTTACTAAGAACATGAGCACCATATGTACGGTTCCTGTAGTGATCCTTTCTCGCCGCCTCTCACTTTCGTCTTTCCGTTACCCCCCCCCTCTCTCTCTCTCTTTCCCTCTCTCTCTCTCTCTCTCTCTCTCTCTCTCTCTCTCTCTCTCTCTCTCTCTCTCTCCCTCTCTCTCTCTCTCTCTGTGTCTCTCTCTCTCACTCTCTCCCTCCTTCTCACTCTCTTTCCCATCCCCACGCTGTCTCCAGTACATGAACATTTGTGGCGTTATTACACTCATTATGTGTTCGTATTTCTGCTCACGGCAGGTTCCTCGAGTCCCACTGGTTCGTGTGGACCACCCAGATGAACCACATCCCGATGGACGTCGACTACGACCAGGACTACGACTGGGTCACTGCCCAGCTCAAGGCCACTTGCAATGTGGACCAGTCACTCTTCAACGACTGGTTCTCCGGACACCTCAACTTCCAGATTGAGCACCAGTAGGTACCCAGTTTGAATTACAATAGTAAATGTGAGGCAGCATGGTGAAATCAGGCGCTTGTCAAAATAACCAAATCGGAGAAACAGGCAGTTTTCCCTGAGTTCGGAAATTTTTATCGAATTTTTATTTTTTGGCTTAACCTATTTAATGTTAATATAAAAACACCTTTCCATGTGAATTTTACTGAAAAACGTTGATTAATGGCACAAAATATGTCAGGGTTTTCAAAGGCTCTTTAGCTATTGAAGTTACCAAACTTTGGCAGCCATTTTCTCGCTAATTTCACCACAGAAACCAGGCGACCTCAGTTCCTTCAGTGGCGGATATATTGAGTTCTATTCAAGATAAATGGATATTTATTTCATTGGAAGCAAGGCAAATAAATCAGCTTTCACATGATACGAATAACTCCACATGCCCAAAAATTGAGGAGCAGATGATTCCACAGCGTCTTTACGCAAATCACATTTTTATTGATCCTAGAAGGGCAATTTGGTTTACAATGGCAGACATACCATACATACATAAATATATAATTATAAATTCGTACATACATAAATACATACACATATATACACAAATATGCAAAATCATACAAATACAAAATAATCTCACAGCCATCCCATTGCTGGTCGTCACTGTGGAGCGCTCGGTTTATTTTTTAAGCTAGGGTTGTCGTATCTTGCTGAAGGACACACCCTAGTGACCACCCATCTGATCCCGGGGTCACCAACTCTTGCTTGACTATACTCTTGAGTCTCAACTCACTACTCACTTAGCTACTGGAACCCCCCATATATATTTTTTTTTGGGATGGGCTGCTGGCATTGAGGGTGGGTGAGTGTAGAGGGGGGGTAAGTAGGTATTTCAGGTCATTGTACACTAATGCAGTAGTGGCTATATGTTGCATTTTTTCAGCTTTGGTTAATACAGGTCTGGAATGAATTTGAAAATAGACATGTCTCTCAGATCAGAACCTGAGGATGAAAAAACTGGAACAATTTTGCAAGTTACTAAATTATTCCACTTTTTTCATCTTCAAATTTTAATACTTTACAACTTCATTGCCAAGGGATGTGCGTTCCTTTTGTCTGGACTGATTTTCAGCTGAGCTTGTTAACCAGGACAGCGGTCTCAATGTCAGTGGACTTGCTCTCTAGATCTGGCCCACTCGTGACATATATTCGGGCTCTGGGTCTTCGATAGTGTCACTTTCCTCACTCACTATATTCCCTGTCTTACACATTTAGAAAAACTTATAAATCTGTGTCGAAAAGTGAAATTTGCTGCCTTTTTTAAAGGTCATTTTAGTGTTTATGTTTTGTGAGAGTCTGTAAGACTAGACCTGTGTTTATCGAACGCTTGCAAGCCTAGCAGGAAACTAAATTAATATGAGCAGATTTGGTACCGATACAGGTATTTTTTATTCCCAAATACAAATCCACGCTGTGCTTGTGAGTAATTCTCTGTGCAGAAGAATTAGAGCCAAATGATTAACAGGATGAAAATATAATGTCATATATAGGCAACAAGGAACAGCAAATTTTGCCCACTTCTGTGACGTCTATGGTAAGGCACAAAGCTAAATTAAAAGTTACATATTTTGATGACGGAACAGGTACCTCATAGATTATGACAACATGTATATCTCTATTAGTTATAATGGAAAAGTGCTCATTAGATAGATATAACCCTAATAAGGTCAACCATTTATAATAGACTAGATTAGTGCAGGAAGAGTAGGCTGGTTTTTTTACACCCCCCACTCTTACCTTTCCCCATACCTCCCTTTCCCATCACCAAACTAAGTTTACACCTAAAAAGAGTTGTCATTTTATCTCCACTCCCTACCCCCCCCCCCAATCCCTATCCCTCCAACCCCTCCCCCCTCTCCCCCCCAACCCCCCCCCCCCCTCCCGCAACAAAACCAACAAAAAAAACCCAACAAAACAAACATACAAAAAACGAACAAAAACAACACTATAAAACCTCACTACCCCCTCCTCCCTTCACAACCCACCCACCCACCCATCAGTCTGTTTCCCACAATGCCGAGGAACAACCTGCACAGAGCCACGCCCCTGGTCAAGTCTCTGTGTCAGAAACACGAGCTGGACTATCAGAGCAAGACTCTGTACAGAGCCATGGCGGACATCGTCGGGTGAGTGACCGCGGAGGGTTCTCTTTCTGTTGGGACTGGAACTGGATTTTGTGTGTGGGTGTGTGTGTGTGTATGGGGGGTGGGTGGGTGTGTGTGTGTGTGTGTAGGTGTGTGTGTGTGTGTGTGTGTGTATGGGGGTGGGTGGGTGTGGGTGTGTGTGTGTGTGTGTGTAGGTGTGTGTGAGTGTGTGTGTGTGTGTGTGTATGGGGTGTGGGTGGGTGTGTGTGTGTGTGAGAGAGAGAGAGAGAGAGAGAGAGAGCGTAACACCAAAGCCAATGTGCCAGCATCTGGGCAATAAAAATTTATCTTATCTTATCTTACCTTATCTTGATTGTTACTTTTAGGCTTTGCTTATAGCGTGACATATAGATAATGTCGGTTTCCGATGCATACCAAGTAATTGATTTGTTTGTGGGTTTTTTTCTGTTTTTCACAGATGTCTGAAGGTTTCGGGAGATATGTGGTATGAAGCTTACAATATGTGATGCTGACTAGGTCAGCTCTGGATACTTTGATCTGTTGAGACGTTCAAGTCTGCAGAAATATTTGAGCCGAGTATGTGCCACCTGTATCTGACAAACGTTCATTTTGCTACACATGTTTTTGAAGTACTAGAGCATCAAATGAATGACCAGTTGGACTTTAAAACCTTGAAGGCCATTATCTTTGGGTAGAAATTGAAGTAAAAGCGTATTGTAAATGGTTTCTTTGAATTTGGTGCTCTTATATATATTTGAGTTGAATAAGGGCTGTGTGCAAAGCATTTGTCCATCCTTTTGAATCCGTTTTCTAACTTTTTCTAAATTTTACCTGTCAATTGCTCTCATGTCTGTTGTCTTTTTCAGTTTACACCCGCTTTTCTTGATACGTTCTTTAGACTAAATAAGGTTAGGAAACTGGAAAAAATTTTGAAAACAATGACATGTTGGACATTATGAACCATCGAGTCACATGGTTTTAAAGAACTTCTGAGATGTACATTTGAAATGTACAAAGTCTTTTTTCTGTTCTGTTTGTGTTTCTTGGACAGCTGAAAGTAAGATCTGTTTACTTCTGTTGTTTAATCTCAGGAGTATAACTTCTGCAAGCTGTTCAACTGTTTAGTTTGAAGTCCAGAAAGAAGAAGTATTTAGGAGGGAGAGAAAATTGTTTCATTCCTTTAAAAATTGTTCTCAAATTGTTTGTTTTCCTGCTTTTTTCCAGTAGACTAATATTTAGATTTTGAATTTTGGCGAAATATTTTTTAAACACATGCAACTGATTCCACAGATTAAGAAACTGCAATAAAACTAATTTGGAAGAATTTTGGGGTTAGTATGAAAATCTGGCACAGGATAATTGATAATTATTAATTCATTAGAAATAGTTGTTTTAACTTCGCAAACTAAGTATTATTTTCAGGGAAATAAAAGGGCTTTCATTTGTCAGTAAGTATTGGTTTAAAAAAAAAATCACAATGAACCTGTTCCTCACAGGCCACTCAAATAATTTAATGTTTTGTAAATATATCTTCCTTCCGGCTGTTTTGTTTTCTAAACTTTATTTTGGCATGGAATGCATTTGTAGATACTGTATTGTTTGGATCATATTTGAATTGCTGGAATGCTGCAAATTTTAAGTTTTCAACAAACAAATGTTATGTATTGAGTGGCTAAATAAACATGTTCCCATTATGTCAGTGCTGGAAAAAGTTTGTGGGATTTAATAGATAAAAATGACCAGATTAATCATCTGCTACTAGAAGATACTGACAGTTTGTTAGTTTGATCTTAAGATGTATAAAGTATAAGTTATTCTAAAGGGAGACCTTTGAGAAAATACTCTTGTTGTTTCCTTTGTAAATTGTGGGTATTTTATGTTATTGTTTTATTGTGATTTCTACTATTTGTCCATTCCCTATGATTTTTGTCTAGTGCTGATGTATTTGTAGTGCACGTACTTTACTTTTCCAATCCAGTGGCCATCTGAATTTGAGCCTTTCGGCCTGTCGATATGGCAAAGAATTTACTACAGGTTTTTATCAACTGTGTTTTGTTGCTTTATAGAGTATATTTTTTTATATCTGGGGAAGCAGGTAGGTAGGTAGGTAGGTACCATGCAAGTCGCCAAGTGCAGGGCAGGTAAAGTTCTGATGTATTCATCGTGTACCGACACAAGGCTTTGATGTTTGTGGTTCTTACGTCCCACATTAGAGATTAGTGGACCTGTCCTTGTTAAAGCTTGCAGGGGGGGGGAAATTGGTTTCATTTTTCTGTTATATGATGATGATAATAATAATAATAATAATAATAATACGTACAGTCGACTCTGCTTGTGTTGAAATCGCTTGAGTTGATCTGCGGTTGAGTTGATCTTATTCTCGGGTTCCAGCACCTGTTTCTTTACAGATCCCAACAGTTAAGTTGATTTTTCTTTTTTTTTTCTCCCACGACGAAATCAACTCGTCCTAAGTTGACTATGATAATGATAATGTAGATCATTTTTATAGTGCGTATAGTTCAAAGTGCTATATTTCTTACATTTACTCTAAGGTTTTAAGGACATTTGGCAGTTATATAAGAAATTGAATGTAGTTTTTTTTAAATGTATGTGGTTAGGAATTACACCAATTGCACAAAGTAGATTTTGAGGTGTATTCCACCCTCGAACTAATTGACCCTGATTGCCGCGCCCACGACGTCCCATTGGATTTTATAGATCTAGATCTAGCCCTACCCATCGAGCACAAATTCCAGTACTGACCCCTTCACCATGATCTGAATCACTATTAGATGAGTCTAAGTCCTGTTTCTTATCATCTACTACGGAATTTACGGCACTTATTTCAGAGTCACTTTCGTCAAATTAGTATCATTCCCCCTCACAACCCAGCGCCACTTCAAAAAGTACTTTGTCGGTTGTGATTGTGCGTTTTCGAGACATCTTTCAAGCTTCTACACCCATCAAAAACAAAGAAACCACTGTTCATTGGAAAATTAAAATATTCAGACAGAGCTGCATCGCCGTATTTGTGTATCTTGGTAATTACAAGCAGAACTAGCTTCTTTGACGTGACCGTATCGCTGTTCCGAGTATACCCGTAGCCCGGATAAAAAGAGTTAAAAAAGGGGCATATTCATTTGTGTATGGCATCATGCATGGTGAAATCGGGCGCTCGTCAAAATAATGAAATCGAGGAAACCAACTTTTTTCTACCTTTTGGATAACTTTTCCTGACCTTGTTTTATTTGGGTTCAACATCTTTTGTATCCATTTATAAACACATTTCTGTGTAGATTTTACTGAATAACTTGATCAAAGGCACAGAAAATGTCAACTTGCAGTTTGACTATTTTCATGAGCGCCTGATTTCACCACGCTGCCTCACATATATAATATATATTACGTGATGCATTTAATGCAAGTTCAAATCCACCGCTGTATTTTGAAAATGCAGTAAACCCCTACTTATATATAGAGATACTCTGACCAAAAAATACTGGCAGTTGATTGATCTAGTCTGCGTTTTTATTATGCATTATTGTATATGTGAACACAAGAAAAAGCAGGCCATGGACTTAACAATTTATCACCTAGAAGTGAAAGGCTTTTTGACATTCCGAGACGTTTTTAGCTTTTCGAGAACGCCGAGTGCAAGTTGGCTTTTTTACAGGCACTTGTGCACTAACATACTCACAAGATCTTTCATTGATTTACTTAGTCGGTTTATACCCTTTTCCCGTGAAGGTGGAAAAGGGCATAAGCTGGGATTTGAACTGGCAACATTTTGGTTGTAAGCTCAGCTGCCTCAACATCTGTGCAATGAATGCTATGACATAAAGGTGTGGAGCACTGAGTTTATGGTGCAAGGAGATGGTGGAGTTTCCATGCCATTTTGTGTTATGCTGCTTGTTTGTATCCTAGCATCACTCCTTTGAATTTTTATTGAAAACTTTTTTAAATCAAGACAAATGGCTACCTTAGAATTACAAATTTCTATCTGACATTTTTGGCCATTTTGAGTTACTAAGACTTTGAGGTCAGAAACCAAATGTACTGCCTGCTCCATCAAAATGGCAATATTAATCAGAGTTGTTATCAAGATATTCAAAGAATTGTATTCGGAAACACTTGACATGTTGTGAAACTCAACATTTTTAACGTCAAATTTATTAAAACTAGGTGCTGAGCAGATAGAACTTTGTAATTCTAGGGTTGTGAAATATCTTGCAACAAGCAAAGGGGCGTACTTTAATTTTTCTTGACTTAAGTGTAAGTACTGACAATCTGAATTTTTTCTTTTGTAGTGCTGTTATATTATTTCATGCATGCCATTTTCTATTGCTAAACAGTTGAGTTAAGATGAGAAGAATACCTCATTGCAATTGTAACAAAGTTGTTGTTATACACTTTTAAAAATAGGCCTACTACTCAAAATATGTCTATAATATATTGTAAAAATATGGATATATACAAAAAATAAAACTTATTTTTATATTTTCTGCCTACTGACACTGAATGCTTTATTAAAATATTATTTAGCCAATCAGTATGTTTTTTATTTTTACTTATAAGTAAATGCCAAAGGTTATGTATTATTATGCTGTACGAGATAGCTCCCTCCTCTGTTTTGACAAGATGAGTGTTCCCTGAAAGTGATGACATCTATACGATGATAACAATAATTAATCATAATTTAATGATAATAATTGCATTTATATTATAGGATTTATCCATGTTCTACGACAGGGATCTTTAACTCTGGGGCTGTGGGTCAATTGAGGCTCGCAGGGCGATATTTTGAGGCTCGTACTCAACATCAAAATTTAGTGTTTGTTAGTGTGGCTTGCATGTTTTTCTCACATGCCAAATGTAGCTGAGTTACGTTCTAAGTAAATGGAAGCACTGTACTGTCAGGTCTATGGCAACAAGGAGTAGGTAACAACTGTAGCTGGTGTTCCGAAGAAGCGTTCACGTTCTGAACTGCCTTTGATAAAGATTGAGAAGATTAAATCAGTTGCACTTAATTAGAAGAAAAATACTTAACAAACCTTTTTTTTGTGTGTGGAATATTTGATGTGGCCCAGGCTCACCCAGTGCCAGACTCTACCTCCAGTGGCCTCTGGGTAATTTGAGTCTGAGATCCTTGCTCTACAGCATTTTCTGTGCGTTGTATAAGCATTATTAATAATCCAACAGACCCCAAAACACTCTTAAGCATTCTTGGCTTCCCCTGAAAGCATACAGAGCAAGGAGCTGATTTAGCTTTCGGTCACTAACAAGATCTTTCACCATCCATTGTCAGATAACCATTCCCACCTGGTTAAAGTACATTGTAAGTAAGTTCATGTAAAGTGCCTTCACAAGGACACAATGTCGGGTCCCTGTCAGAGCTCAAACCTATGACCTGCTTTTGGTTACGAGCTTGACAACCTAACCACTAGACTGTCAATGCCATTACCGTCAATAGTATAGTTACTTACTGTTTTTAGTGAGTGATGGATTTGTAAACAGAGTAGGAGCAAAGACTGCATTAGAGAAACTATTTATGGAACTTCTCTTTGAGTGTGAGAAGTGAAAACGAAACAAAATGCCTTGAACTGACCTAGACTGGTATGCTGTAAGCTGACAAAATGCCTTTCTTAAATTCACTGCTGTTTCAAGATTAAAAGGTTTTTGTCAACATAACCATTTAAAAAAGGCATTTTTCCTAAATTTGAATTTGAATTTATTCCAAAACTAGCCACAGTTTCACTTTGATTTTTTCACACAAATAGTGTAACAGATCAGGCTTTCGGTTTAGCAAATAAAGAAAATTGGTGCCAAAAATGAAAAATCGCATTTCGTCAGCTTATGGCAGTGGTGATGTCTGTGAATTTGATCACTGACTGGGGATGACGACACTTTATCTAGGGTGTGACCATTCTTACATTTGCAGAATGGGCTTTGTTACTGCTTCGGGATATTTTAAGACTCCAGATTTTTATTTTTGAAATAGCTTTGAATGTTATTTGTTATACTATACATGCTTCTGTAATTATTTGGCCAGTCAGCAATTTTGTACTCTTGCCTGTTGCCTGAGATATTTTTAGATTCAGATTTTTGTATTTTTGAAACTGCTTTAAATGTTATTTTATATGTTACTTGCTTCAGTAAGACTTAAAAATCCAGTTTGTGGAATCTGCTTATGGGTAATTGGTGGGTGTTCTTGTGTGGTTTACTCCTTCTTTCTTTCTTTCCTATCAACCATGAAACACTGTTGTCCATATCTCTCCTCCTCCTTTTCTTTGATATGTTACTCTCCAGTAACACCTCTAATTCCTGCATATATATATATATATATATATATATATATATATATATATATATATATTTACATCTTAGTACCACTAAAATCTGGAATGTGCTTCAAAGTCTGTTACTTCTATCAGCATGTTTACAACAGAAGTAGAAGGACATTTTTTGCTTGAGTATAGAACGGTACATGACATGCCTTATTTTGGTTCACTGTTGTTTACTTTTTTGTTGCCTTAAATGAATGTTATCGTTTCCCATGTTGTTTAGCATTCTGGTTTCCTCTCATGTTTTTTTGTTTTGTTTGTAGTCCTGTGTTCTGATTTAGTGCTGAATATTTGTGAGTCACTTTAAAAAAATATGTCGACATTGATAGTAGCTGTAGTTATGATTCAAGGGGAAAAAAACAGGAAAAAGAAAAATTGTTTGGAATTTGATTTTGATGATGATGAAATGTTGAGAATGATGTGCAAGATTAGTCTTGATGATGATGATGTTGATTTATTTCTACATTTGTTGCTTATGCCAGATCCCATCAGGCTGTTCCGAGGGGCCAGACTGTATTCTGGTCTCATTTTTGTGGGTTTAAAACAATCAATTTTTTTAGTACATATTTGGTGTCTTGAGATGTGTTTTGTTGTACAATTTTGTGTTGTACCCCCAACCCCTAAGAAAAATTTCTTTTTAGAAAGAAATCAACAAAATAAAGACAAAAACAAAAATCAAACTAGCCTCAATGACTGTAGTAATGTAATTACAGCATAACACGGATAGGTGGAACACAGGAGACTCCAAATCTTGCATCCGTCGAACTGTTCCTGCAGCCCCATTTTTTCTTCTTCTTTATCTTTGTAAGATATCCCTCGAACCAGACGAATTCGAACTATCCGTGTTTTACTGTATGTATTATGGCCCTTTTGAAACAATTTAGATAGTCCAGGGGGCAGGCTGCTTCAACTCTGCCAAACGTAGGGCCAACTCATGCTGAATGAGAGTGT